AGGCAAAGCTTGGGGTATAGAAGGGTTAGCTCTGTATGTGGGTACAAGCTGAAAATGGATGGCAGCTATATTACAGCCTCACTCAGGGAAGCTCTTGAGAAACAGTGGTGAGGGAAAATCTCCCCAATGGGAGGAGCTTTGAGATGTGCACATGGTCATCCACTTTGTATGGATGGAGAACAGCCCAAGGTTAGAACATATGTGGACTCACGGACAGTGATAGTGGTCTGGCTGAAGGAATGGGAGGCTACAGGAAAAAGTTTGGAAAATCAGAGACAAGAAGGTCTGGGGTGGAGGAATGTGGGTGGACATAGGGAAGTGGCACAAGTGGGAAGCTGTTTGTATCACATGTTAAGGCCCACAAGCATCTGCCACAGAAGATGTGTCAACTAGACAAAATAACTTGGCCAGTTAATGTTGACCAGCCTTTGTGAAAACCCCCATCCCTCATTGCTACATGGTGGGTATCTGAACAAAGAAGCCATGGAGGCAGAGATGAAAGTGATGTCAGAACCTAATAGCATAGACTGTCACTTGCCAAAATGAATATAGCTACTGCCACCTCTGACTGTAATCTGCCAGCCGTAAAGACCAATGCTAAGCTCTCTTCCTTAAGACCAATAGGCTACTTGGTGACCAGTAGACTACATTGGGCCCCTGTGGTCCTGGAGAGACCAGTGGTTTGCTCTCACAGGACTAGACACTTATTCAGGATGTGGGGTTTCCTTTCCTCCCCGCAGGGCCTTAGCATCACCACTCTCTGGGACCTTAAAGATTGCCTGATCCACAGACATGGAATCCTACATAGCAGAGCACCCGACCAATGACGCTCTCCATGGCACAGGAAGTGGAGGGAGTGAGCACATGAACATGAGATCCACTGGTGGCATCACACACCTCACCATCCAGAAGCTACTGGATAAAGTACTGGAATGGCCAGTTGAAGATGGAGCTGAAGCACCAGCATGAAAGTGTTACACTACAATGACATATCCTCCAGCACCTCGTGGTATATGCCTTGCATCAGACAAGTTAGTATGGTGCTGTGTCACCAGCAGAAAGAATATATGGGTCTAGAAAGAATGACCAGAAGCCTGAGTGGCCCCACTTACCATCCTTCCAATGATGCACTAGGATTTCCTGCCCCACAAAACTGGGATCTGCAGAGTTAGAGGTCCTGGTTCCCAAAAGGGGCACACTCTTGTCTGAAGACACAGGAGAGATCCCAGTGGACTACAGTGATGGCTGTGACCAGGTACTTTGGCCTCCTGATGGTCAGAGACTAGCAGATAAGAAAAGGAATGGCCATCTTATCAGAGGTACTTGATGCTGGTCAGCAGAAGGAGGTGGGGTGCTGTTATACAATGAGGGAGGGTAGAATATGTGTGGGATTCTGGTGACCTATTTGGGTGCCTTTTGGTACTCCTTTGCCGAATTCCTATGACTGTGAATGGACAAGACAAGAGCAGCAAGCCTGGCCTGAGAATGTGCTCACACCCCTTAGAAATCAGGGTCTGGGGCACCCAATCAGGTGAGCTACTGGGAGCAGCTGAGGTGATAGTTAAGGGTGAGAGGAATTCGAATGGACAGTGGTGGAGTGACATGATGAGGACCAGTTGTGCCCTTAAGGCCAATTGCAGTGACAGGGTCTAAGGGGTTCATTACATTATCTTTGCTCTTGTAAGTTTCCTCGTAGGAAGAGTGGCCCTGAAAGAGCTGTTCCCTGCATACAAATGGTGCAAAGGTTGGACTATAGCTGACAACAGTGTGGCACTCAGGTCCCCTTTAAGCCAGGGCTTGCTGTCCAGCTTCAAGGAATATGTCTAGCTGATAGCCTCCAGCTTTGGCTCCTTTAGGATCCACCACAGTATCTGAGCCACCCATCTGAAGTCATCCATTTCTTGGGTGGCCCCCACCAATGACTGAGCAAGGCAGTGGTACAAGGGCTTAGCCTTTTCTTCCCAAAGCTGGACTCCTGCTCCAGAGCATCCTATTGGGCTGGTGGAGACTGTAACAGAGGGAACAGCCTAGAAAAAGGTAAAAATGTTTTACAAGCTGTCTCTTTAAAACCTCTCCTACTCTTTTTTGGGAATTATAACCTGCATCCCTGCCTGAGGTCAGTGGTTGGGGCCAGTGGTCAGGAGGGACAAGAGGGTATCCTTTGTTCTTTGTGTCACAGGAAATGGCTCAATGGAATTGTTCAAGGAGAAGGTCACCAAGATTGTCTTCCCTGGAGATGGGATGGATTAGGACCATCAACTGTAGTTAACAGCAATTGCCTGAAGCTGAACAGCTCCCCCCCCTTACCCCCTTAAAAGCTCTATATTTCTGCTTATAGGTAGGAAAATGGTACTTTAAGATGGGAGTCTGCCTTTTCTTCATTTGCCGGCAAATTAACAAGCCTCCCTTTTCTTCTTCTCAACCACTTGTCCTTGTTCTTCTGATGTAGCCTTGGGGACAAGTACTGAACTTTCAGTAACAAGACTTTGTCAGGTCTGTATTCAAGTCTGACAGCTCCCTCCGACCTTCTTCCCTTGACTTTCTCTGTGTTATACCCCAGGAAATCTTCTGCCCTCTTAACTGTTCTCCACGGTGGGCAGGTCTATGCAAACCTACCCCTAAAGTCTGAGGAAGCTGAGAGGCTGAAGAAAGAGGCTGACATATCCAGCTTCTCAGGAAGAAACATTTAATAGTGACTTACAAACAGAATCCACGTCCTGGGAGGCCATGAGACAGTTGGATCCACACGCCATTACCCCCCAGACCTAAGGTTTATATACCACAGGGACAATCAAAGTTGACCCCTCAGAGAAAGGCAAGAATGCTCTGTAAATCTGCCTGAGTAGAAATCTAGGGGCATTCCCAGAACAGGGGTTAATCAGCATCCAGGATGGAGTTGCTTTAGCCTCCACAATTCCACATTCAGATCTCCTTCCTGGAGAACCCAATCTGTGACAGCACACATTTCAAAGCTTCCTAAACTGTCTCCTTTTTCCTTCCCACAACTCCTTAAATCATTTTTCATAGCTTTAAGATGAGGGAAATTTTACAGCTGTACTCCAACCACTCTAGCCAGACTGGACTCTTCATTTCTAATCTTCTGTATACCCATTGCAGCATTTAACCACCATTCTCTTATATTTCAATTTTTTTGTGTGTCTTCCCAAACACATGCTCCTCGAGTGAAGGACTGTTTCTTAAACTTCTGCATGTTCAGAGTGACTAACTTCTTTTGTAAGGACCACAGAGAAGACAGTCAATAAACATGTTGAACTTAGTTGATTTGATAATAAAAGGTCCCTGGGAACCTGTCAGACCACAAAGAAGGCCAACTGGATGAAAAGACAACTATAGAAGCAACAGCCAGAGGGAATGAGAAGTCAGATGATTCTATGTGGGCCCCACATTTGGCTGGTTTCCATAACAAAGTACTCTATTGCTGAAAGACACAGTTCATCTATCATGAATGACCACACAAAAGAAGAATTCTCATTAATAATTTTTAAAAAATTCTGATTTGGCAACGAGATTCTATTATTTATTTATTTATTTATTTATTTTTTTGAGACAGAGTCTCGCTCTGTTGCCTGGGCTAGAGTGCCGTGGCGTCAGCCTAGCTCACAGCAACCTCAAATTCCTGGGCTCAAGCAATCCTCCTGCCTCAGCCTCTGGGGTAGCTAGAACTACAGGCACGTGCCACCATGCCTGGCTAATTTTTTCTATATATTTTTAGTTGTCCAGCCAATTTCTTTGTATTTTTAGTAGAGACGGGGTCTCACTCTTGCTCAGGCTGGTCTCGAACTCCTGAGCTCAAACGATCCTCCTGCCTCGGCCTCCCAGAGTGCTAGGATTACAGGCGTGAGCCACCACGCCCGGCCTCTATTATTTTTTTAGAAGATACATTTACTTTATTTGACGGTGCTGGGAGGAAAAACTTTTTCCTCTTCCAAGTTGTGTCCTGTGTTTGGGGACCTACACATTAACTGGCAATAGACAGATTAAGGAGAAAAGACAAAGTGTGCACATGCAGAAAGGAGCTTCCAGGAACAGAAAACTCACAGAATAATCCAAAGCAAAGGTTTTTATATCTCAACTTAACACAAGGGAGGTTTTTAGGGCTTCAGTAGGAGAGTATGGAAGGTTCCACTGGGCTTTTTGATGCTAATGGTAACGGTACGTTTGTTTTGTCTCCCGTGCACCGAATACTCTGAAAGGCAGTTAAGGCACTGTATTTGTTCGAGGCTCTGCTTCAGTCAGGCACAGGAAGTTCAGATGAGACTTCTCTCAACATCTTCTGTAGCTCAAATGTTTTCACTTAAAAACAATCTTTATGTCAACTCTGGGGGTCCGAGTGGGCCCCCAGGGGGACAAGTTCTTGTCCAAATATCTTGAGAAGAAGTGATCTGAACTCTTGGGTTATGTCTAGGCATGTCCGTCGGTGACTTCTTGCTATTGGGGGATTAAGCAGTGGTTTGGGGCCCCAATGTTAGCGGTTATAGGTAGGCAAGAATAGGCCAGTAAGTGGTTCTTCAAAAAGCCCGCGAGAAGGCAAAAAAGAGGGAAAATAATGATCGTTGTTCTTTAAGAGGGCACGGTGGCGTACGAGAAAAGTTGCACATCGGTTCTGGACCAAGTGGACCGCGATTTTAGACTTTGGGAACCTCGGTGACATCCGGGCTCCACTTGATGGCACGGCGTGTTTGTTCAAGTTACTTCCTCAAGTACAGAGTGAGGGTAATACCTAACTCGTGCGCCCTGCTCGCAGAGAGCGCTCCGTTCTTTCCGGGAACTGGCGGGCCGGGGAGCTAGACTTCCTCAATAGGCTCTCAAGGCTTGCGTCAGCGCCGATCGACGGGCTTATATAAACTCCAGCAGCGACCCAAGATCATTCTAGTTCCTCTTCTTTCCGAAGAAGCCTCGCGGAGCCCAGCGAGGGAACCTCACCCTAGCCGAGCCTAGAACCGGGAGGGGGCCAGCGGGGCGGTCGCTGCGGTCGCCGGCAGATTTGCCCGCGCTCCTTCACTTCCCTTCTACCCCGCTGCCGTCGCAGCTGACTTTCCATCTGACGCAAGGACCCGGCCGGCGAGAGCTGACCTCTCGACCCGAGAGCCGAGCGGGAAACCGAAACCGCGGGGCTCAGCTAACAGCGGCGCAGAGCGCGCACTCGCGTGCCCAGGGCGCGCCCAGCAGCAGCACCGCCCGCGCCGGCCCCCCCGGACACTTGTAAGTTTCGATTTTCCTCCTGGCCGAGTCCCGCGCCCCGGAGCAGCCTGCACATCGCGCGCGCCATGGCGGACCCGGAGGTGTGCTGTTTCATCACCAAAATCCTGTGCGCCCACGGGGGCCGCATGGCTCTGGACGAGCTGCTCGAGAAGATCGTGCTCCCTGAGGCGCAGCTCTGCGACTTGCTGGAGCAGGCCGGGCCCGACCGCTTCGTGGTGTTGGAGACGGGCAGCAAGGCCGGGGTCACCCGGTCCGTGGTGGCCACCACTCGAGCCCGGGTCTGCCGTCGCAAGTACTGCCAGAGACCCTGCGATAACCTGCATCTCTGCAAGCTCAATCTGCTGGGCCGGTGCAACTACTCGCAGTCGGACCGGTGAGTGCACGCGGAGGGAGGGGCGGCTCCCCGGGGCCCCGGTCGGGGCGGACGGTTGAGGCAGCTACTCGGGGAGGGGCGCGCCCTCCCCGGGACCCGGCACCTGACGGCCTCTCCCTCCAGCTGCTCCCTTCTCTGCTCCCCTTGGGGAGCCCCTGCTGGGCTCGCGCTTCTACCCTTTCCCCTCCCTTCCTTCTAGCGCCTGCAGACCTTTCCTTGAACATGGCTAAAGCCACAGCGCCTGGCGGAGACCAGGCTAAATCTCCACCGCTCCCCTCCCCCCGCCCGCCCGCAAGAATCAGAAGAATAAAGTACTCTGGGGCAAGCCAGGCCTAGAAAAGTTGGAGGCAGGTTTGAGAACGAAGGAAATGCCTCCACTCTCCGGTATCTTCAGTCTTTCCGTCTCTGCTGCCTTCTCCCCTGGACGCGTTGTGGTCTTCTCCGCACCCCAGTAGCGCCCAGCACCCGGCTCCGTCTCCGTCTCCGTCTCCACCGCGGCGCGCTGCGGTCTCTGCCTGGCTCCCCCTTCTAGCCGCCTTCGTTCCTCGTCACCACTTTCCTGCTATCTGGCGCCAGGCCGCACATCTGACCGGAGTGGCCCTCTTCAAGGGCGCCAAAGACGTAGCAGCCTCTCCCGCGTGTCTCTCCGCGGTGGCCCGCACCGTCGACCACCCCCTCGTGGAACCACGCTCTTAAATCGGTTTAAAATAGTGCAGCTTCCATCCCAGGCATCTGCTTCTGTGTTTCCATTTGCTCTTTTTTGCCACAACTATGGGTATGCTCCAAGGATTCGGTTAAGGCTTTTGATGCAATTGTCTTCCAAATCCTTCTCTAACCGCGCTCCCTCCCGTGGGTCCCACTGTCACATCCAACAAGATGGCCTCCAGGGGCACGTCGCGGCGCGGGCCTCCCCGCCGAGCCTGGGGCTTCGTCGCCGCGGCTGCGGAGCAGCTTCGCTGAGCATCCTGTTTCCACCGGTCAAACTCATCATCTTTCCCCCAGGCGGGGTCTCTAACCTTTTCACCAACTTTTTTTTTTTTTGGAGACAGAGCCTCACTGTGTTGCCCGGGCTAGAGTGAGTGCCGTGCCGTCAGCCTAGCTCACAGCAACCTCAAACTCCTGGGCTCAAGCGATCCTCCTGCCTCAGCCTCCCGA